AATCCAATTAAAAAATGGGCAGAGGAGCTGAATAGACAGTTCTCCAAAGAAGAAATTCAGATGGCCAACAGACATATGAAAAGATGCTCCACATCACTTGTCATCAGAGAAATGCAAATTAAAACCACAATGAGATATCACCTCACACCAGTAAGGATCGCCACCATCCAAAAGACAAACAATAACACATGTTGGTGAGGTTGCAGAGAAAGGGGAACCCTCCTACACTGCCAGTGGGAATGCAAATTAGTTCAAACATTGTGGAAAGCAGTATGGAGGTTCCTCAAATAGCTCAAAATAGAAATACCATTTGACCCAGGAATTCCACCTCTAGGAATTTACCCTGAGAATGCAGCATTCCAGTTTGAAAAAGACAGATGTACCCCTATGTTTATCTCAGCACTATTTACAGTAGCCAAGAAATGGAAGCAACCTAAGTGTCCATCAACAGATGAATGGATAATGAAAATATGGTACATATACACAATGGAATATTATTCAGCCATAAGAAGAAAACAAATCCTACCATTTTTTTTTGCAACAACATGGATGGAGCTAGAGGGTATTATGCTCAGTGAAATAAGCCCGCAGAGAAAGACAAGTACCAAATGACTTCACTCATATGTGGAGTATAAGAACAAAGAAAAACTGAAGGAACAAAACAGCAGCAGAATCACAGAACCCAAGAATGGACTAATGGTTATCAAAGGGAAAGGGACTGGGCAGGAGGGGTGGGAAGGGAGGGATAAGGGCAGGGAAAAAGAAAAGGCATCTTACTATTAGCATGTACAGTGTGGGGGGGCACACAGAGAACACAAGTAGTGAGTCTACAGCATCTTACTATGCTAATGGACAGTGACTGTAATGGGGTTTGTGGGGGGGTACTTGGTGAAGGGGGGAGTCTAGTAACCATATGTTCTTCATGTAATTGTAGATTAATGATAATAAAATGAAAAAAAACTGTATGATCATCTCAATAGATGCTGAAAAAGCATCTTACAAAATTTCACATCTATTCATGATAAAAACTCACAACAAAATGGGTATAAAGGCTACAAGCCTCAACATAATAAAGACTATCTATGACAGACCTAGAGACAACATCATACGTAACAGAAAGAAGCTGAGCTTTTCCTTTAAGATCAGGAATAATATAAGGATGCCCACCTCCCCACTTTTATTCAACATTGTTCTGGAGGTCCCCCCCATGGCAATCAGACAACACAAAGAAATAAAAAGGCATCCAGATTGGTAAAGAAGAAGTTAAACTGTCAGTGTTTGCAGGTGTCATGATATTATACATAAAAACCCCTAAAGAACTCCAAACTACTAGAACTAATACCTGAATTCAGCAAAGTTGCAGGATACAAAATTAATACACAGATATCTGTTGCATTCCTATGCACTTTAACAATGAACTAGCAGAAAGAGAAATCAGGAAAACAATTCCATTCACAATTCCATCAAAAAGAATAAAATACCTAGGAATAAACCTAACCAAGGAAGTGAAATACCTATACTCAAAAACTACAAGACACTCATGAGAGAAATTAAAGAAGATATGAATAAATGGAAACACATCCCATGTTCATGGATAGGAAGAATTAATTGTCAAAACGGCGATCCTGCCTAAAGCAATCTACAGATTCAAAGCAATCCCTATCAAAATACCAACAGCATTCTTCAATGAACCAGAGCAAATAGTTCTAAAATTCATATGGAACCACAAAAGACCCTAAATAGCCCAAGCAATCCTGAGAAGGAAGAATAAAGCGGGGGGAATTATGCTCCCTGACTTCAAGCTCTACTACAAAGCCACAGTAATCAAGACAATTTGGTACTGGCACAAGAACAGAATAATAGACCAAAGGAACAAACTAGAGAGCCCAGATATAAACCCAAGCATATATGGTCAATTAATATGCGATAACAAAGCCATGGATATACAATGGGGAAATGACAGACTCTAAAACAACTGGTGTTGGCAAAACTGGCCGACTACATGTAAGAGAATGAAACTGGATTACTGCCTAACTCCAGACACAGAAGTAAACTCGAAATGGATCAAAGACCTGAATGTAAGGCATGAAACCATAAAACTCTTAGAAAAAAACATAGGCAAAACTCTCTTGAATATAAACATGAACAACTTCTTCATGAACATATCTCCACGGGCAAGGGAAACAACAGCTAAATGAACAAATGGACTATATCAAACTAAAAAGCTTCTGTACAGCAAAGGACATCACCAGTAGAACAAAAAGGCATCCTACAGTTTGGGAGAATATATTTGTAAATGACATATCCGACAAGGTGTTAACATCCAAAATATGGAAACAACTCACACACCTCAACACCCAAAAGCAAATAACCCAATTAAAAAAATAGATGGAGGATATGAACAGACAATTCTCCAAAGAAGAAATTCAGTTGGCCAACAGGCACATGAAAAGATGCTCCACATCACTAGTTATCAGGGAAATGCAAATAAAAACCACAATGAGATATCACCTCACACCAGTTATGATGGCCACTATCGAAAAGACTAGGAACAACAAATGCTGGTGAGTATGTGGAGAAAGGGGTACCCTCCTGCACTGCTGGTGGGAATGTAAGCTAGTTCAACGATTGTGGAAAGCAATACGGAGGTTCCTCAAAAAACTAAAAATAGAAATACCATTTGACTTGGGAAATCCACTCCTAGGAATTTACCTAAAGAACATAATTTCTCTGATTCAAAAAGACAAATGTACCCCTATGTTTTCTGCAGCATTATTTACAACAGCCAAGATACGGAAGCAATGTAAGTGTCCATCAGTAGATGAATGGATAAAGAAGATGTGGTACATATACACAATGGAATACTATTCAGCCATAAGAAAGAAACAAATCCTACCATTTGCAACAACATGGATGGAGCTGGAGAACATTATGCTCAATGAAATAAGCTGGGTGGAGAAAGACAAGTACCAAATGATTTCCCTCATTTGTGGAGTATAACAACAAAGCAAAACTGAACGAATAAAACTGAAGCAGACTCACAGACTCCAAGAAGGGACTAGCGGTTACCAAAGGGTAGAGGAGGGTGGGTGGGGAGGGAGGGAGAAGGGAGTTCTGGGGTATTATGATTGGTGCACATGGTGTCGGGGGGATCATGGGGAAGACAGTGTAGCACAGAGAAGGCAAACAGTGACTCTGTGGCATCTTACTATACTTTAGACAGTAACTGCAATGGGGTATGGGGGGGACACAATAACATGGGTGAATGTAGTAACCATATTGTTTTATCATGTTAAACCTTCATAAGAATGTATATGAATAATATATTAATAAAAAAGATTGTGTATCAATGATACTTAAAGAAAATAAGCCATATATTGGAAATATCCAACAGATATTTTTAAAAGCAACTATTATACTTTATATGTTCCATGAAGTAAAGGAAAATACTTGAAAAGATTTTCAGTTGGTGTTAGAAATGAGAATGTTTGTTACCTTGATTGTGATGATGATTTCTTAGCAGTATACATACGTAAAAAATTTTCAAATTGTACACTTTAATGTATATAATTTATTATATGTATAGCTCAATAAAGTTGTAAAAAAAATAAGTTAATTACATCTGTGCCAAGCAAAAGGTAAATGTCATTAAATGACTATTTTATAGATAGAGGAAACTGAATTTCAGAATGATTAAGTAGTTGCTTATGGTTATAAAGTCAGTCAGGTCCAGGATTCTAATGTAGACTTCTTTTACTTCCAAGACTATAATATTATCTCCTCATCCAAGAAAAAAATATAGCCTTAACTCTACTTAATTTATCAGGTTATTAGCAGGATTGAGTAAATTATATCTTAGATACTTAAATTCATATGAGATAGGTAACATATTAGCATATGGATTTCACACTACCAATTACATATTATTATTTTTCTAGTAAATTAAAAGAAATTTCCCCTTTAGCAAGAAGTCCCAGAGGAAACAACCAGCAGTGAGAACAGACTGCATTTTAACCTCTACGTTTTTCACATTCAAAGTCTCAGAAATACCTAAGAAACATAATATACTGATGGTACTGTGTGGGTTAAATCCATTGATAATATCCATGAAAGATACACAACCCATATATGATGATCTGTAGTATTTTCAAAAGCCAGTGTTTGCTATATTCCTTATGAAAAACCATGTAGTAATCTCAAAAGATGTTGTAGAGGAATGTGTTATTACATGGAAATACAGTCACAATATGTTGAATAATGAAATCATATTATAAAAACTATTAATGTATTATTTGGTTTGTCTTAAAATGTATATATGCACATAAAAAAAGACTGGAAAGACATATACAAAAAATATTAAAGAGTGATTATATCTGGGTGATTCTAATTATCTTTTTTGTGTCTCTGAATTTTCTATAATAAACATATAGTGTTTTTTTTAATATGGGAAAATAATAAAAGCTATTCTTTTAAAGTATAACAATAAACAAAAGGTCCTACTTCCAAGAATGGATTCTCTTTATTTCCTATTTAGATATGAGCATGCCTTTCTTACAAAGTACAGTCACAGTCTGTAAGCACTCACCTGTCCAACTGCTTGTAGGTTATAGCAAACAATGTCCTTATTGGCCACTGAAGTTCCATAGAGAAGTGTCTCAATGAGCCAGTATATTCCCAGAAGGAGGTCAGAGAAGCTCAGAAAAAAAAGTGGTCTCATCTGTCAAAGCAACAAAAGCCCCATTTCATAAATGAAGCAGCCAGGAAAATGCAACAATCAATTTTTTATGTTTGACCTTTCTAGTAGAAAACTGGGCATCATTTTTTCTGGGGCCTCTGCCACTGGGTGACTGTGGGGAATGTAAAGGAATACTCCAGATAGGAAGGAATCTATAATCACTACTATCTCAACTGTCCTAGAATCACAGTACTATACTCATGGATGGATTATTGGAACTTCTTTTCATAGATATACTCCTTCTTCAGATATAGGGTCAAAGGAAAGAATGAACAGATGAGAAATTTTGTGATGGGGCCATACCACAGATGGAAAATTCAAAGTGCTCTGGTTGCACAGCCAACACAATAGGTAATGATACCATGACAAGAATGTTTAGGGATATGGTTGAGGACTCAAAGAAAATGGGAACAGGTTTTTAAATTTTTAATATACCTTAATTTGCATTTCTCTTTTTTTATTTTTGAGGTTGTGAAAATTAATAAAGGGAAACCTCACTAAGTCAAGTCAGGGGGGCTACAAAGGGGAACCATACCACTGCCAATTAAAGGAAGACTTGTCAATTACAGGCTCCAATAGAAGAATCCTCAACACTAAAGAATCACCAATTACAGGCCCCAACAGGAAAATACAGACATTGCATCTCCTACAAGAAATGGACTACATACCATGATAACTCAGCCAATAAGAAACTGTCATCACCCTGAACTCTTGCTTTTCTTCAATGGACTTTGCTCAAAGCGACTCCTCCTAACTTCCTCCTTCTCCATAAATGAATGTTTCTCTCTTTTGTTTGTTGGACTTTCCTATGGTTTTGCTGTAGCTTGAATGTCCCTTATTGCAATTCACTGCTATTCCCAAATAAATCCATTTTGCTGGTAATGTAACTGGCTATTTCATTTTCATTTTGAAGGTTAAATTTTTAAATAATTTTGGTCCTTCTATAGATGTTTATTCAGAGAGACCCAAGAAGATTACAGAGAAGAAATATACCATGTTAATGGATTATAAGACCTAATGCCAGTTCTCCTAAATTAATATATAGATTAAATGCAATTTCAGTTATATCCCTACATATTTTCTTGCGGAGTTTGATAAGCTGGCTCTAAATCTGATATAGGAATACAATACATCAGTATAACCAATACACTGTGATGGAAAAGAAGAAAATGGATTTGTACTACACATATCAAAACAATATAAAGATACTGTGGGACTAGCACAGGGATGGGCAAATAGACCAATGGAATTGAATACAGTCCAAAACTAACCTAAATGTTTATATAGACTTTTGATAGATGATTGAGGTGGCTTTCTAAATCAATGGAGAAAGGATAGTCCTTTCAAAAATGATGCTATTGGGTTTCTATATGTTAAAAGAACAATTGAGTATCTATATGGGCAAAAATGAAATTGGGCCCCTACTTTCTACCTCACACACCCAAAAATCTGTTACAGCTAGTTTACAGACCCAAATGTGAAAGGCAAAAACTATAAAGGTTTTTTCTTTAGATAATATAGAAGAATATCTTCTAGTTATGGAAAATTTTCCTAAGCAAAACACAGAAAGTGTTAAAAGAAAGAACTGAAAAATGGAACTATATTTTCATGTCACAGACACCATGAAGAAAGTGAAAAGGAATGCCACAAAGTGGAAGGAGATATTTGCCATACATGTAACTTACAAAGGACCAATATCAACAATATTAAAAATGCAAACAAAAACTCTTACAAAGCAATAAGGAAACTCAATAGAAAAAAATGGACAAAAGATTCAAACAGAAGATACTTAAGAAAAGAGGAAATCCAAATGGCCACAAACATATGAAAATATGCCTTACATCATTTGTGATCAAAGAAATGCAAACTAAAACCACAATGAGAAAAAGAATCACACTCATGGTAAAAATTTTAAAAGTCCAAAATATCAAGTACTAATGGGAACAGGAAATAATGGGACTTTTCTATTACTGACACAACCGCTTGGGAAGTTTGGCATTACCTAGGAGATACACAAATCCTCAAACAATTCTGTATACATTAGAGAAATGTTTACATGTGTGTACCAGAAGATGTACACAAGATTGTTCATAGTTGCATAGATAGATAAATTGTGGTATGTTCACAATATAAAATGCTAAATGTCAATGAAATGAAATGAAGCAGAGCTATACACAACATGGATTAATCTCACAAATAATATTGAGGAAAAAGAGCAAACCACACAAAACAATACATATAAAAACATACATATTTACTCCACATATATTCCATATATGGAATACTTATTATTCCACTTATGTCAACTTCAAAAACAAGCAAAATTAAATTGTTTAGAGATACATACATTACTGGTAAAACTGTACATAAAAAAATGATAATCATAAAAATCTGAATAGTGGTTATCTCTAGAGGTGAAGGACACACAGAGGAGTGGCCAGGAGGGAGCACAGCAGGTATCTCTGAGGGTACAGGCAATTTCTATTTCCTGCTCCTAGGGTTTGTTTATAATCATTCTTTAAACAGCCCATACATGTTTTATGCACTCTCATTCATGATAAATCCCACAGTAAAAAGTAAATTAAAAAATTTTTAAGTTTTCATCAGATACTATTTAGTATAAGAACTAATCTCCTCACCTGTACAAAAGGAAATTCTTCTTATACCTTTCTTCTAAATGAGAGGAAAATTAAGGTACTAACACCTTGCTAAAGAGGTAAATTGTCAAGTTGCTCTGGTTAATGGAAATTAAAACAAGTGAAATAATAATATTTTAAACTGTATTTAATAAAGATAAGACATTATTATTATTTTAACCATATACAGCCTTTGCTCTGGGTAAGCCTGTTAAAATTGCAGCCAGATGGTACATTCATAGATTCTACTGGCCTATGACCTCCCACAAGTTTATAACCATTAACAAGTAAAAAATTAAAACTGTAATACAAAATAAACTCCCGAAGAAGACATCCAAGCAGCTTTTTTGAACAAGAACATAATTATGGTCACTGATTCAAGAACTAGCCTTAAATATAAAAAAGCTTTTGGTCATTAAACTTTATCTAAAGTCTTTGGCAAGGAAATGAAGGATAAGAAGAGGTTTATATACTTTCACTCACAACTGGAAAACCATGAGTTCTAGTAACAGGAGATAAAATCAAACAACAAAAGTGAACTGAGTACCTATTATCGAAATTAGTAAAGATTTTATTCTTCCTATATATAATAAGATACTATGTTGAAGGTAATAGAAAGGAATGTATGATACAGCCTATACTTTAAGGCAGATACAATCACCACAGTGCTTGATAATAAGGAAGACATGAAAAAGCATAAGACATAGTATTGGTCCTAACTATGAAAGCAAAAACTCTTTTAAAATATATATATATTTATTTGCACTTGTCTAATTTAAATCAAGAGCAGAAAAATGGTGGGGTGGGTGGGTGCATAATGCGTTGTGTGACAGGCTTTTCCTGAGGAGGTTCTGGATCCAAGTCTATTTCTGGTGAGGTGAAAGACCTAAAACAATTTGTATTAATACACTTCTAAGAGCCTGCTTCACAATATTTCTATTCAAATGAAATCAAGTTACAAAGCATATCAAAAGTGACCTTTGCAAGGAAACAAAAGTCATACAAGTGCAGTGAAGTAGATCCGCCTCAAGTTTTGTTAACATTGGCTCGGCTGTGGTCACTTAAGAAAGGTTGCCTCTGAGAGTCACTGTCTAATCACCTAGCTCCCTCAAAGATTCCCCATGAATTTCTCCAATTTACTATAATTATGATAACTTAATAGACTTTTTTGTCTTTTTCAGATTATGGCTTCCATGTATTTTTTACTGTTAAATGTATTCTCTGATGAAGACATAAAGGAAAACAGCAGAGTATGGCTTACAGTTTTAACCTGGAAAAACTGGAATATTTTCCTAGGCCAAGAAAACAGAATGTGTGGGAACCACCATAACTAGTGATTGCTAAGTTTCTTCAGGTTCTGGTTGTGTGAAAAGTGTGAGAATTAAAGCCAGAGATACAATAACATCGAATTTATAATATCTACCTCCAGAGTTGTTTTTAGGATTAAATGAAAAATGTATTTAAAAACACTGAGCATGTCTGCCTAGAACGTAATAAATACTAAAAATTGTGTTTAATTTGGAGGGGGATTGCAGTTAAGAGTTGGACTTTTGAAAATGTTTACTCTGCTACTTACTGTGTAACTTGAACAAGTTATTTAATGACTTTGAACCTCAATTTCCTCATCTGTGAAATAAGGCTAACACCACCCTTCTTGTGGGAGAGTGATGAGGACCAACAAGATAAAGCATGTAAAGCACTCAGCAGGGTTGGAACACAGTAAGTGTCCAACATACAGAGCTATTTTTATTATTAAAGTGGGCTCAATAAAACCCAATGACAGTTTGCACATACAAAAGCTCACATGTCCTGAGCTACATTTTGCCTAGTTTCATGCCATTTGGCCTGGTTAGAGAAACAGTTGTTAATTTATCTTAAAATCTTTACTAAGCTAGTAATACACCACTCTTCCTAGTTCTTTTTGAATCAGGAAGGTTTTTTGTTTATCTGTTTATACTTAAATATGTAGAATTTTTATTTGTCCATTATACTTCAATAAAAGGAAGGTTTTTGACTTCATCTTTTTGGTATGGAAAGTTTTACATAGGACGTATTTTTTGCTGTGTTTTCAACATTACATTATAATTGCCTAGAAGGCCAGAACAGCAAAACAAGTATCTTTCATACAGCAAAATCTTTGAACTACTTCCTAGCCCCAACTGCCCCAGCAAGATGACCAAGATATCAACAGAAAATTTATCTCTAGGCAGGACACTACTAAGCTTAGAGTGAATATAGACTTTAAATAACACTGTTTAATTAACCTTTGTAATTAATGCATACCAAAAATTTCATCACATTTTATAGTCAATATCTCAGTATTCAAAGTTATAGTTAAAATAATTACCCAAAACAAGGGAGACCTATTGACAGTGTCTAAAATATCTTAGTGTAATGACAAATTCACAAGTAATTCATGGAATTATTCAATCATTTATATAACACTTTTCTTAGTTTTTTCAAAGGCTAAGTCACTAAAAGGTCAAATCAAACACAGGAGATTGCTCACCTCTGGAGATTTCTGTATATTCTGGAATACAATGTAGGCAATAAGTGAACTTGAACCTATAACACTGACAGAAATAAAAGATGATCATTAAAACAGCACAACTGGGACTCCTTCATTTTTGCTATTTTTTTTTACAGATTTATTGACATACAATTGGTATGAAATAAACTGCACATATTTTTTTAAAATTTATAATATCTCAAAAATTTGTTTGCCATCCTTGTGCAAGGGCTATGCTAATTTTCTCTGTATCATTCTAATTTTTACTATGTGCACTGCCAAAACAATCCTGCTAATACTGCAAATCAATCTACTAATACTGCAAATCAATCCTGTTGACAACTAGGCCTTTAGTTTTCAGATGTTAATCTGAACCTCAGCCTGTTTTTTTGTTATTGTTGTTGATGTTATATTTTATTACTCAGAAAATATCAACATGGTACAGAATAGCATTTCTCCCTAAAGAATAAAAGCAAATCCCCAGGGAAAAAATACAGAAAACTTCAGAATGCTTCAGTTTTGCTTATACTGTTTTATACCATTTTAAACAGCCATATTACAAGAGATTAAACAAACTTACCTCAGAAGAGCCATAATAAATTGTATCCACTGTATTGCCGAAAAAACCTAAGTAAAACAAGAAAGTGAGAATAAAATTGAGCCTTTTATATTAATATTCAACCTTACCCCAATTTTGCTGTTTATTAACTATCCGTGCAGAGCACAACTCTTCTTCAGTGCGTAATCAAAACACACTACAAGTCTAAGAATGAGTAGAAAAGCGGAGAATGAGTAGAAATAGACTCCTGGAAAGGCAGGGTGGCACCCTGTTTCCTCCATTATTGCTACATCTCTGGGGATCAGTAAAATAAAAGAATAGAGAGATAGATAGAAAAATGACTAAACAATAAAACAAAATAGAGTTGGATGAGAAAATTAATAAAAGGAGGAATAAAATAGAGAAGATGTAGGAAAAATCATATTTTGAGAGAGCATTGATGGGTGTTTGGAAAGAATGGGTAACAAGAAAGGCAAATAAATATAACAGAATTGACTGACAGAGCCAGACAGAAAAAATAAAATAGTAAGCAATAGAGAAATATGAAGAAGAAAAGTTAATAGTATGGAGAGAGATGCTGTGAGTGACAAATATGCAACAGGGAGGAAGAAAGGGGGAGCAAAAAAGGAGGGACAGCTTCTAATCTTACCAACTCCCAATTGTCCAAAATGCTAGCCTCCAGTAGGAGGGCCATAGGAACTTCAGCCCCAGCTATGCTTAAACAGCCTGATCTTCCTCTTCAGGTTCTGAATCCTGAAGCAGTGAGTAAGTGGCTCCACCCCCAGCCTGGCTGGGCTCCTCCCCACCCAATCCTGCCCTCTATCTTGAGGGCAAGGAGAGAAGGTGGCAACAAGTGAAGGGGAAAACCAAGCAGAAAGAACAAAAATAGAAAGAGCAGGTGACAAGGAAACAAAAGCTCTAAAAAGTATTAGTAATTGTAAGAAAGTGCAAGAAGCAGGAATAACAGAGAGAGAGAATGAGTCATAGTGAAAAGGTAAATAGAGCTGCAAGAGAGAAGTGGAACAGAAAAAAGGAAGAGAAAAATAGAGAAGGGAGGTCTGCTTAAAACTTGTCCCTGTGGTGGGAGAGAGACTGTATATGTATCCAATCAATACTTTTTAGTAATGCCAGGAAAAAGCTGTGAAGAGAAGGGGTTATTAATACCCCACATTTATTTAATACTAACATCCCCTTAAATATTCTGTACCAAAAATTCCCACCAGAAATACAATATTATTAAACATGATTAATTTAATAGACTTATGTTTACATATCATCTTTACATAAAGCATTGTGTTTTGGAAGATACAAAGACAGATAAAGCTCCAGACTTCCAGAAGCTTATAATATAGTAGGAAAAAATGGCTTGAATACCAAAATCTCAAATGATCTGCAAGCAAAAGTAATACAGACTGGCTGGCATTTGCACAATATTTGGAAGAAATGGTAAAATCTGGACAAAGAATGGGGAAGAAGAAAGCAAAAGGAGGAATATTTCACTTATTTTCATCTAACCATACTTTCACACATTCTACAAATATTGATAACACAAATTAGATCACTTGCGTGGCTTGACTAGTATATGACTCATTATTCATATGAGGGTAATGGGGATAAAAATATAGTATTCAGTAGAAGATGAGACACTGTTAAGTAGAGGTAGACTGTAATCACTTCGCTTAAACTATTGAATAAACAAATAAATAAAAACACCAGTAAATTTCTGGATCAGAAATCCCTACCATACAGTCTTAGGGAGTGTTCTGAGGCCTCTAATTATATATCTATCTAATAAGGGTGAGGGAACTAAAGACAGTCTCACCCAGTGATAAGAGAATGCTTTTGGACAAAGGACTCTTGTCTCCTCAAGCATAAATCTCCAATTGTTCAGAGACCAGCCATGCCAAGTCAGTCTGCTGCTCTTGACAGGTGAACTTTTCCCTTTCAGCATCCTTTCTACAATCTTTTAGGTCACTGATCAAGGTTTGGGCATTTGCTTTTATATTTTTCTCTCTAAATTAGTCACCTGCCTTTTGTATATTCAGCAATATTCCCTTTTGAAATGTGTTTGGAAACATAATTTTCCCATTTTCCTTTTTTACAACCTAAGGCCAAATAATGGAGTGGGTGATATTTATTTTCAGTCTTCTCTTCTCCTCTTTTTACTTAGCTAATTAGTAAGCTCAAACACACCCAAACTCTCACTATAATGGGCTCCTATGTATTACAGATCAGTTTAATAGATACTCATTAAACTTCTACCATGAACAAGGTACTGTGGTGGACACAAAATGAAGAAAGACACCTAATAAAATACTTCTGTTTAAGTAAAAAATGATACTTAAAGAATACTTCTAGTAAAAATAGCTACCAATTACCAAATGCTTTCTATTTATAAGACATTAAGCATTTTAATCCTCAAAACATCCTTTGAGGTGAATAGTAGCATTATTCCCATTTTATAGATGATGAAATTTAAAGTCACTTTCCTATGATTACAGGGTTATCAAGTAGCAATATCAACATTTAAACTCAGTCACTGACGTCATAATCTTCACTCTTTATACTTATGGTATTCTAACAGGGAACTGTAAAATGGGAGGATAGGGAAAGTCAATTTTAAAAATTAATGTGACATCGAGGGAGCTCACTTATTAGGTAATTCCTTCTTAGGTATGACAACAAGCACAAGCAACAAAAAATAAATAAACTGGTCTTCTTCAAAATTCAGAACTTTCATGCTTCAAAGTATACCATCCAGAAAGTGAAAAGACAACTCAAGCAATTGGAGAATATATGTGTAAACCACTTATCTGATAAGGGACTTGTATACAGAATATAAAAAGAATTCCTACAACTCAAGAGTAAAAATACAACCCAATTTGAAAATGGACAAATGTTTCAGAGATTTTTCCCAAAAAATATACAAATGACTAATAAGCACATGAAAAGATGACTAACATAAGCCATCAAGGAAATAAAAATTGAAATTACAATGAGTTCCCATTTCACACCGACTAGGATGACTACAATAAAAAAAAAAAAGATAGGCAATAGCAAGTGTAGAAGAAATGGAGAAAAAAGAATGCTCATACACTGTGGGTGAGAATGTTAAATATTGCAGTCACTTCGGCAGTTCCTCAAAGGGTTAACCATATACTACATGACTCAACTTCCAGGTACAAACTCAATTCTACTCCTACATATATCCACAAAAGAAATTAAAACATATGCCCACACAATAAGCTGGACACAAATGTTTGTAACAGTGTTATTCATAAAAGACAAAGTAGAAACAATACAAATGTCCATCAGTTGGTGAAGGGATAAAATGTAGTATATCTATACAATGGAATATTATTCAGCAATTTTAAAAACCCCTAATATGGAAAACAATTCCATTCACAATTGCATCAAAAAGAATAAAATACCTAGGAAGAAACCTAACCAAGGAAGTGAAAGACTTATACCCTGAAAACTACAAGACACTCAAGAGAAATTAAAGAGGACACTAATAAATGGAAATCATCCCATGTTCTTAGCTAGGAAGAAATAATGTTGTCAAAATGGCCATCCTGCCTAAAGCAATGTACAGATTCAGTGCAATCCCTATCAAAATATGAATAGCATTCTTCAATGAACCAGAGCAAATAGTTCTAAAATTCATATGGAACCACAAAAGACCCCAAATAGCCCAAGCAATCCTGAGAAGGAAGAATAAAGTGGGGGGGAATTATGCTCCCTGACTTCAAGCTCTACTACAAAGCCACGGTAATCAAGACAATTTGGTACTGGCACAAGAACAGAACAATAGACCAGTGGAACAGAATAGAGAGCCCAGATATAAATACAAGCATATATGGTCAATTAATATATGATAAAGGAGCCATGGACATACAATGGGGAAACGACAGCCTCTTAAACAACTGGTGTTGGCAAAACTGGACAACTACATGTAAGAGAATGAAACTGGATTATTGTCTAACCCCGTACAAAAAAGTAAATTCAAAATGGATAAAAGACCTGAATGTAAGTCATGAAACCATAAAACTCTTAGAAAAAAACATAGGCAAAAATCTCTTGGACATAAACGTGAGCAACTTCATGAACATATCTCCCCAGGCAAGGGAAACAAAAGTAAAAATGAACAAGTGGTACTGTATCAAACTAAAAAGCTCTGTACAGCAAAGGACAGCATCAGTAGAACAAAAAGACATCCTACAGTATGGGAGAATATATTCATAAATGACATATCTGATAAGGGGTTGACATCCAAATTATATAAAGAGCTCACACATCTCAACAAACATAAAGCAAATAATTCAATTAAAAAATGGGCAGAGGAGCTGAACAGACACTTCTCCGAAGAAGACATTCAGATGGCCAACAGGCACATGAAAAGATGCTCCACATTGCTAATCATCAGAGAAATACAAATTAAAACCACAATGAGATATCACCTCACACCAGTTGGGATGGCCAACATCCAAAAGACAAACAAATGTTGGCAAGGATGTGGATAAAGGGGAACCCTCCTACACTGCTGGTGGGAATGTAAACTAGTTCAACCATTGTGGAAAGCAGTATGGAGGTCCCTCAAAAAACTCAAAATAGAAATACCATTTGACCCAGGAATTCCTCTCCTAGGAATTTACCCTAAAAATGCAGGAGCCCAGTTTGAAAAAGAGATATGCACCCTATGTTTATTGCAGCACTATTTACAATAGCCAAGAAATGGAAGCAACCTAAGTGTCCAGCAGTAGATGAATGGATAAAGAAGATGTGGTGCATATACACAATGGAATATTATTCAGCCATAAAAAGAAAACAAATCCTATCATTTGCAACAACATGGATGGAGCTAGAGGGTATTATGCTCAGTGAAATAAGCCAGGCGAAGAGAGCCAAGTATCAAATGATTCCACTCAACTGTGGAGTATAAGAGCAAAGCAAAAACTGAAGGAACAAAACAGCAGGAGACTCACAGAACCCAAGAATGGACTAACAGTTACCAAAGGGAAAGGCACTGGGGAGGATGGGTGGGAAGGGAGGGATAAGGGGGAAAAAG